TCAATATCATAACATCATATTGTGTCCAGTACAGGAACAAGGAAACAGGAAAAGTATGACAAATAAGTAGACTTAAATGGGTAAAGGGGTAATAATTAATACACAGGTAGCAACTTGAGTCCTAAACAGTCGCATGCCAGAAGTACTTCTTGGTATTTCATAGGGCAGCATATCCAGAAGATTGATTTCAGGTATTGAAAGATAAGTCTTTATTGTGAAATCACCCTGTCTCATTCACAGACTTTTAGTGCGAGGCGAAAGAGATTTCAGAATTTGAGGGGCTCTCCTATGTAACTTTCCCTTATTCTCCCACCACTTTTTTCTTACTGCAGATAAGATAGTCTGCTAAAGAGGAAAAGAAGGTATTTTGATGCTCCATATTTATTTTCTAATGCCGTGGCAGACCCATAACTGCATTTCTGTGTGACTCAATCTCACATTTTCAGCTATGCTGCATTCATCAGCATGTGCCCCAAATGTGATAGGTTTGTTTTAGACACATACTATTATTCTGGTCCCTCATAAATGGAAAGGGCTCCAGTGTAGATCTTGCACAAAACAAGCTTGTCAAATCAACTGTGTGGCTGCCCTGGGAAAATGACAAATTTAACTTTCCAGTCCTTCAAATCTTTTAGAATTCTTCTTAGAATATTTTTTGGAAAAGTGCAGCCATTTTATCTATTTATAATTGATTTAAAGATATTGATAGCTTTCTGAACAATAAATTGCTAGCATACAAACAGCACAATAGGACACAGATGGGCTGTTTACACAAGAGGTCCTGTTGTGTGTTGTTTACATGCCTTGAGCGCTAATTTTGGTAGAAGGAAGGCTATAAATTGGATGGATGGATCCCTGTTGGTTGGATTTCCACCATGCAGCCACCATGGTCAGGAGCTGAATATTCAGGGCGGTGGCCACAGGCACTCTGTCTGAGATAGTCATGCCATGTCTTTTGAACCTAGTCATTCATTGAAAAGCCTGTGCTGAAGTAAACAAGGCTCCTGCCAAGGACCTGTTTCAAAGGTGTTTTATATTACCAATTGTCTCAGAAACACACTGATAAAAGCATGGGCTTTTGCCATCTAACCTTACTCAAAACCAATATTTGTTTTATTACATTCACAGGCTGTTTTTCTTTTCATCAGTTGGAGAAAGCTTAGTTGCCACTTGATTGTGATGAACTTGATTTTCTGTTGGCTCCCCTAATTTCCAATGCAATTAATTGTTGTTCCTGAGATTTATTGCCTGGTTGAGTGAAGTGCAATTAATTTGTATGCTTGGGCTGCACAGTGGGAAAAACAAAATAAATCACCACTACAGCATTAGCTTAAATGATCACAATTCCCTCCCCCTGCATTTATTAATGAGTAATCCCACAGAAGCAACAATGGATTTCTGGTAAGTAGTTCTGCCTTTGCAACTTATGCTGCTTGTCTTCAAATTCTATTGATTCCTACATGCTGTTCAGCCTGTTACAAGTCTGAGAAAATCAGTAGTATGTCAGGAAGCCATTGAAGTCACAGCTGTTCCTTAAGGAACATGGTGCTTTCCCTGTTTCCTGTTTCTGCACAGGAAGACACCTATCTTCCCCACTCCTTTTCAACTCTAATGGAACGGGAAAGGAGGTGAACATTTGCTCCTGTGAAGGTATAGAAAGAATAAAGAGAAAAAGAACATAATTTAGGATACATGTTTGTGAACACTGACCACCAAAAAGGGAGATTTATGAAGTGACACGTTAGAATAAAACACATGGACTTCAAGGGTATGGCAGTGGTACAGTGGAGATCATGTGCATGAAGGGATGAAATAATTTTGTTGCTTTCTTTGTTGCTGTCTAGCTTTATGTGGAACAACTGCACCTTTAGGAATGTGGAACACCTTATTTCCATGTGGCTTGTAGGGCACTTTTTCTGCAGTAGCCCATCTGATCTGGCAGCATCTTGCTAAATGCTTTACCTGGAGCAAGTAAAAGTTCTTGAAGTATCAGGCAATTGTAAGAGGTTTTCATCAACATTTCATACCACAGTGGATAGAGCACTGAATTCAAAAGCAGGCTGTTGCAGGGCTGGCTGGCACAAACTTGGATATCTGCTAGACATGAACCCACCGTATTAATAGTTAGGCAACCAATATTACAATCTACACTTTTTAAACCAATAAGGATTCATTATATGATGCTGAACAGCTGAATTTTCCTCTTGCACCAAATTTTACAAATTGACTGAGGTCTGAGAAATATATTTCAGCCATTACTTAGTTAATATTTCAAATCATTCAACAAAGATATTTAATACATTATCATAACCACTATTTGTTTCAGCACCAGAAGCCAAGAAACCAAAACTCCCTTGGCTGATATTTTCATGAACTCCCTAGATATACAGTATGTCACACATTTGGTCTATTCCTGAACAAAGGTAAGTTTGAGGTTCAACAAAAGAAACAGACATCTAGCATATCCAATAATAGCTACAGTTAATACCAGCTTTGTCTAGCTAACAAAGAATTCAGACATCAATAACCAGATTTGCTTTATTTCACAAGAATTAACACTGGATTTACAAGAAACTGCATGAGAATTAGAAAAGGATTATGGGTCTTTCACTTGACATTTGTAAGGCATTCCACTGTGACTACAAGTATATTTGGCAGTCCTATGCATTTTGTGTAGGTAATTAACTTGCAAGAAATGTTGGACATAAAGGTGGACAGAAGGATCACGTTACGGAACATTACAAAGGTCAAAGAAGTATTACCAAGCATTATCTGTCTCAGGCTACATGAAGCATGGACAATTTAATATGGAATTTGTCATTGACTTTGTCTGTGAACTTGTAGTGGCAGGCCTCCTACTTTCAGTTCATTTAGTACAGAAG